TGGCAAAAGAAGAGCGTTAAATGCCAGTACCGAAATGGTACAATGCCGGTAAATTTTTTAGCACTAAAATTGGCAAAAGAAGAACATCGAATACTTAGTATACATCATAGGAGACAGTATCAAAGAGTATAACCGTTGTATATTTTAATGTGACAGAAAGTGAAACTATATTCTAGTCCATTGCGTTATTAACAAAACGGATAAACTTGGTAAAAAAGAATTATATTTCTTTACGAAAAAAGATAACCTTGAATAATTGGCCGAGAAACGGAGTAATAACAGTTATTGTGAGTGATAACTCTGTTATTTATCATTTTTACTAGTTGTCAAATTCTCTCTTTTTTTTTGTATTATGGAAAATAATTTTTTAATTGCAATTATATCAATTTTATAACTCATAGTTACAGCTATATCCAGTAGTAAAAATTTAATAGAAAATGCTGAAAAGGAAGTACTTTTATACCAAAAAATATCGAGATTTAAAGAAGCTAAAGACTATATCATCATCATCGTTATCGTCATCATCGGATGATAATGAAATATATGAAAACGAGAATCAAAAAAATCAGTTACAATCTGACAATATTTAGGTGACCGAAAGTGAAGTTGAAAAACAACGTGCACAAATTTTGCCTTCTTCTTCAGCATTATCTCATGATAATAGAAATACCAAGTAATTGCACACATATTTATAATTTAAAATATTTTACATATTTGATGATAAAATTATCTGTTCATCATTATTTGATGATGATATTGAAATTATCTGTTAATACAATTTATACTTTTTAACAACATAATGATTAATTTTGATGAAATTTTTGGATTTATTATTAAAAAATAAATAAATGAATAATAAATAATAAATAAATAAACAAATAATAATAATAAATAATCTTTTTGAATATTAAATATATTTTCTAATTAAATAAGTATAATCTTCAATTCTTTAGCATCTTTGATAATGAAATTACATCATCTTCATCAAGTGAAGAATTATGTCACGACAACGAAGTCGAAGAACAATTAGAAAAATTAGATCAAAATATTTCTTTTAAACAAAAGATACTTGATTGGTCTGTTAAAAATGTTGCATGTCTCAATAACAAAATGTTATCTGAGTTATTATGTATTTTGAAAACTGAACATGACGAATTTCCAAAAACAGCTGCAACATTTCTGCAAACTAAAAATTCATGTTCATGTTTTAGAGATGCAAAGTCCTGAATTACCCGCAGCTTTTAAGCCAATTATCGTTCAAAGTTTTAACATCCAAGTAATTAAAGTGCAGAAAAATTGATTGAAAATCCAGAACTAAGAGGACGGAGCTACGAAGACACGTCTACGTTCGGTGTGTATTAATATGTATTTTTCAAATTATCGAGAATAACGAGCGCAAGAAACGAGGACATCATAGGTGGATAGTAATTAATTAACTACTTCTCCTTGTTACCGGCAATTCTCGGTTGCCGTTGCTATCCGTAAAATAATAAGCTGTGGATATTTCAATAATATTTTGTGCTCTCCATTTAAAAACGTATACAACAATTTCAGCAAATTTAAAAAATTGATCTTGTAAAACATTAACTGGCTGATGTGAAAATAGCTTTTGTACAATGTAACGCGAATAAATGAGCACCTTTTTAATAAAATCAGTATATTGTTGTTTTATTGTTACCCAATTGAATGCTTTATATATTAAATGTTATGTAATAATGTAATGTAGAAATAATGTGTATCAAATTTCCCATATGCGGATTATATTTCACATTAACAATATTCTTTTGCAATTAATGCGCGAGGATATCGCAATATGCAAATGATACGGTAATCTTTTACCTATTATTAGGATTAATGATAATATTGTGGTGTATAATATATCACGTGTAAGTTTCGCGGCAATTTATATCACAAGTTTTCACACTCATCAATTAAAATGTGTAACTCAATGCACATTAAGTGACAAGAATAATATTCTGTATTTTGCGATTTGTATTATGCACAATTTTTTTCTAGAAGAAAAAATTAGCTCATCCTGTTTTGTGGAAAGCGCAAACCAATCTCGTCGCATTTCATAATTTATTCTTCAGCTTACGCTTGATCGGGCAAAAATGCGAGCATTGGATAATTTATAAGATGGGTATTCGTAAGGCAAACAATGCACATACTCTTCACTGACGGGGGAAAAAGAGTGAGAAATTCGAGAGAAGGAATTCGAGATGAAGGGCAAACACAATAGCGCGTATGCATTCACGTGTTCCATAAATAAAGGGTAATCCTCGCTATCGTAGCGGTGTATTGAGACCCTTTAAGAAAGAGAAAACCTGTGCAGATTTCTCTCTTGAATGAAACATTCTCGGAACAAGGAGCTTCTGCACATTTCTTCAATGCGAAAACAGTTTTTCTCCTCGTCGCGCGTACGTCATTGTACATGGAGTTCACTGAACATTTCCCATTGCTTTAGTAACGCAAATAATTCACATTTGTAGATATCAAAATGATTGAAATAAATCTAAATGATGTAACAAATAATAGAGATTCTATTCGTAAAGAAAATTTTAACAAATGGAATTTTTATCTCACGACGGAAAACAAGTAAAATTTTATTCAAGACTCAATGTGTTGTTTGAAAAGTATTATGTGTAAAACACACTTGGTCACACGCGTGACTAATTCTGAATTACAGCGGCACGTTGAGAAACGCCAGCGAAATTGGAGTGTGTCGATAACGTATATGTGCGCTCGAGGATCATTTTTACACGTGTCGTATCTGCGTTGTCGGAAATACGAAAAAACACTGGAGATGACAATATAAAATGTGCCGCATTATTTTTCTAATTTATAATATATTACAATTAAAATAAAAATGAATACCACAAGCAAACACAGAATTTTCCAGATATAAGATATACATATATTAAAACTGCACAATAATATATTTATTCTCAAAAATGTAAAAAAAATGTTGCAATAATTCCTTAGTATTATTTATCTGGTTATATAGTCATCGTAACAATCATTTTATTTGCATGGAGTTTTTCAAAATTTTTTTATGATAAAAAATATATGATAAAATGATCAAATTCCTATTCAAAGTTTGTAAGGAATTTTAAATTTTTCAATTCCTTGTCATCTGCAAATTTTTTTCTGATAATAAATTATTAAATACGTCAAAAAGTTGAAAATCTGACGGAACGAATTCGAGACTATATGGTGAATTCCTTAAAATTCGTCCGATTTCTCGTGCAGTCAAAGAATCCATCATGAAGAATTTCAGTCCAGTACTCAAAATTTACATACGAAAAATTGAAGACATAAAGTTTTAAGTACTTTGTGAATCTTCGAAAAACCATGAAGAAATCTCTAAATTCGCGAGACATTAAAATAAATGCTTCAATTATTATTAAAAAAATAATATTACTGCTATATTTTTTTTATACCTTTTAAAAGAAATATTTTTGTGTAACTTTTATGTTACAGATAGAATGAGTGTTGTATTTT